TTTATAATTAACTTTAAATTTTTTTTATTATTAAATTTAAAATTAAATTATTTTTCTAGGTGTATGGAATGGTTTCTTTACTATGAGGACTATTTTATTGGAAAATTCAGTGATACTGTGTCATACCAGTATTGCAAACATTTTGTATTTTGTATTGTTGTATTTTATTTTACCTATATATATTTTTAATTTTTTATTAATCATGAATTTATTACTAATATATTTTTTTATTCAATAAAATATTAATTTAAATAAATAAAATTTGTTGTTCAAATTAATATACAATACCATATTTGAACTTTTACAATTTCATATAGATAACGAATAAATAATGCGTATTTGACTTAATTGATAAATAAATAACAGCAAGTACATCCCAAAAAGTTAAAATTTAATTTAGAATGTATATCATAATGACAACCAAATGTACTTACCAAAAGTTTTACAGCTTTATATATTATAAATAAAACTAACTAAACGTTCACAAAAAACTAATGAAAAAATAATAAACATTACACAAAACTTCAACTTCATACATATTAAACACAATATTCATGATGTCAAATAATATTTAAAATGAAATTTTTATTAGGACAAAATTTTATCAAAAAAAAATAAGTATTCAAACAGTTATGTTTGATTATCGTTCAAGTAATTAAAATGCAGTGTTTCAAATTCCGATATCATTGATAATTTTTGTAACTAATAGAGGAATTGCACAATATAATTGTAAAATATTTGCACAATAATGTGAAGTAGTACAACAGTCTTTACTGCTTTGTCTGCTATCCAATCAGAGAGATAAAAATTTTTTTCTAGGGTTCTCGGCCAAATGAACTATTTGTTTTCATATAGTCTGTGGTAGTGGTTCGACATTTTAATTGGCCCTTTTATTTAAGTTAATTTCATAGTGCCCATAATTTTTCTGAAATCGTTTGATTGAACAACCGGTTGCCAAACAAGTTACTTGTTAACATGGAAACACTAAGGTATTTACATCACACCGCTTATAAAAGGAAATATGCTCCGAATGTTAAAAAGGTATTTTATGCCATTTTTTTATAACATTTAAATTTGGGTCGATTTTAATTAGTATTCCACGCTGTGTTCTGTAGCCTCTAATAAACTGGTCTGATATACAATTCATAATTAATTTTAAAGTCTTGAATGGCTAAGAATTATATTATAAATTATAGTATATAAATATACTATAATTGGGTAGAAATAGTTCAGTTATTTTACTGTATATATGTACATGGTAATTTTATTTATCATTTTTTTTTATAAATTCAGGATAACACACTAATATTCTCGGAAACTATTGAAAGTTTTAAATTTTCATGGAGGAAAATATAGAATGATTAAAAAGACTGATAAAGCAATATGTAGTTAAATACATTTATTTCCCTTTCAGACTTTAAAATCTAAACTTTAATTTTCTTTAATGGGAATACATATTTTGACTTTAATGATATGATAAAAAAAAAAATTCAAACGCTTTTATTCTTATATATTTTTAGCTTCAATGCGAAGCTGAGAAGGTATTAATTTTACTATGAAGTGTTTTTTTTTTTTTGTGTCTGTTACCACTTTTTCTCAGCTCTCACCAAACCAATTTCTTTCAACAATACGTCAAAAAATCACAAATCGTATCTAGTCGAAGACATTACCCTCAAAAATTGAAAAAATTTTCCTCGTAAAAGGGGAAATCTCCAAAAAAATTACAAATTTAAAAATCGCTAATTTTCGAAATTTTTTCAATTTTTTTTACTTAAAACTGCCATAACTTTTACAAAAATGACACAAATCAATATCATTTTATTTTTTTATATAAATTTGACCTTTTACCTGACCACAGGAAGGGATTTAAAATGATAACTTTTTCACAAAAAATTTACTTTTTCAACTTAACTTTTGAAAGTGTTCCGGAAAAATTGACACTTTTATATATATCTTAAATTAAAGCTAATGTAATATACTTTATTATGGAAAAAAAAATTTCGGACTTTATTTTGTTTTCATGGTGAAAACAGTCAACAAAGTTAATAAAAAAAAAAAACCCAGCACTGTAGGATGGAAATCACTGTCAGATGCTATCTGACAGTGATTAAGTTGTCATTTTGAATCCCTTCCTGTGGTCAGGTAAAGGGTCAAATTTATATTAAAAAAATACATAAAATGGAAGGCAAAAACAATATGCATCTATATAAAAAAAATGATATTGATTTGTTCATTTTTGAAAAAGTTATGGCAGTTTTAAGTAAAAAGAATTGAAAAAATTTCGAAAATAAGCGATTTTTAATTTTGTAATTTTTTTGGAGATTTCCTCCATTTACGGGGAACGAGGAAATTTTTTTCAATTTTTGAGGGTAATGTCTTCGACTAGATACGATTTGTGATCTTTTGACGTATCGTTGAAAGAAATCGGTTCGGTGAGAGCTGAGAAAAAGTGGTAACAGACACAAAAAAAAAAATAAATAAATAAAAAAAAAAAAAAAACATATAGTAAAATTAATACCTTCTCAGCTATGCATTAAACCTAAANAAAAAAAAAAAAAAAAAAAAAAAACATATAGTAAAATTAATACCTTCTCAGCTATGCATTAAACCTAAAATACGATTTTTGTAAAAAAATTCATTTTTATATTCTTTACTTTATAACGCTATAACTCTTTGAAAAATGTATGGATCATTATAATTTTTTTAAGAGAAATAATATATATATATATACATCTTTCATTCGACATACTTTTTTTTTAAATCGGACCATTTTCCTTTATATATTTATATATTATAAATATATATATACAGGGGGTGGACAAAATAATATGAACACCTGACATTTATTTATTAATAAGATGTTGGGCCTCCATTTGCTTTTAAAACCGCTTCAATCCTTCGCAGAATAGATTCAGTATTACCCAAATGTGCGTTAAGTTCTGCTGTAACTTTAGCCACGGTAGTTTTATGTTGTCTTGTCACAATCCGTTTTAATGTTCGTCGGTCCCTGTCAGTCAACTTTGGATTTCGCCCACTATTACTTTTCGCTGATGATGTTTTTCCGTATTTCGTGTATGCTGTCATTACTGTGGACTCTGTCCCTCTTGACACGTTCAACAGTTTAGATGTCTCCGTTACAGACGCTCCCGCTAATCGAGCACCCACTATTTGCCCTCTTTGGAAGTCCGAGAGGTCACGCATTTTATTTTAAGTTTATTTTAACGTTCGTAGTATAACCTGTGTTTTACACTAATATGTTATAAATAACTACTATATTGTAATAATTACTAATTTTACGCCATGTTATCCAAAAATTATACAGTGTAGCCAACTTGCAACAATATGTAACTATATTGCATGATGTTCATATTATTTTGTCCACCCCCTGTATATTCATATATTGTACTTATAAATAATTAAACTTAATCAAAATATAAATAAGGAAATAGTAGATCATGTAGTTTTTGGAATAATCCACTAATTTTTAAAATTAAACACTATCTACAGATTTGCATCGAAGCGTTTTTTACGATAGTGATTTTAATCACTGTCAGATATCATCTATACTGAATCCAACTATGCCACGTTCTCACTGTGTCATGACCCCACTGTTCTGGATTTTTTTTTAAAGAACGAACAATTCTTCTATTATTGTTTATTCAAATTTAAGAAAATTTTTCACAAATTTTGTTTTGTTAATTTGCCGTTTAGCATATATAAATTTTCATTTTTTCGCGATGTCATATAAACAAGTTTATATTTACAAATATTGTTATAATATCTGTCACAAGCATGAAAAAAAAAATTTAATTACATGTTAAAAAAGAGGATTTTCTATCAAACAATATAAATTTTTACGAAGATTGAAAATATTCAATAATTTCAGAGATCATGAGTGTCTTGCCACAATCGATCATTCTGTATATTTGATTTGACTTAATAATTTTTTTTGTAGTATAATAATCATTAATAAAACGTTCTGACAACTTTTAAATGTATTTTTATTCACGCAAAAAACAATTAAATTATTTCATTGTTTAAAGTTCTAATTTCTTTTGATATCCTATTCTGATCTGATTTCATGTCTTACCAAACAGATTAGTGACCCTCGTTGTACAATTTTATATGAACAATTATGGTTACACAATTTTTATGGTGTAAAATGCAGAAATTTTTTTTTTGAAAATGTAATTGTTTACTGTAGCGTAATTTTGAGATATTTTTTTAATTTCTAAAATTGAGGAGATTTTTCAAATTTTCGGCGCTAATAGGTTGACAGTCGCAGACGCCACGTGATACATAAGCGCCCGAAACACGTCATATTTTCAGTTATTGCTCTACTTATTGAATAAATAGTAGTTTGACTCATTATCACCGCATACAATTTATATTAGGTCGTGCAAGTACAACGTACAGCTTCCTTTTACAATACTAAATTGAAACATTTTTACGTTGACTAAGTTATGACGTCGAGGATAAACTCCACCGACTCCGGTTGTACGACACATACGAGGCATATTTAAGGCCCTTTACGTTAAATAATATGTATGTAACAAATTTTACATAAATTTATTATATGCAAACTATATTTATAACGAGGACGTGAAAAGATTTCAATTAAATAAGAGAAAAAATACGTTCTAAGAATTTTTTAACACATATTCACTAATTTGTTTTTTACTTCAAATAGTTTACTATCTATTAATAAAGATTCAAATATACAGCTAATGGTTATTATATAACTATGGTTAAACTTTGTGTTATTCCACAAATTCAATGTTTTGCAGATAATAATGTACAAAAATTACAAAAGTGCTAATATGTGATAGTTGGATATTAAATTTGAATAATATTAAAGGTTTTAGTAAATAATTGTTCCAAGTATATTATATTTTATAAACAGATTATCGATGATCACTATGGGCATTCATCTTTTTTTACCCAACTAATTCAAATCGCTAATAGTAATAAGTGTATAAAATAACAATAATTATAATTACTTGTTGTACTCCAACAACAGTGTTTTCTTCATTTAAGGAAGTTGGTTCAACTGAAAACGTAGGTATAGTAATTATATTCATAAAACAAAGTAATATTTCGAAACTTAAATAGAAACTCATTTTTAAAGATGATTACTATTGCAACAGTAATGAAAATACAGTATGGCAATATAATTTCAATAGTATTGAAAAAAGTGAAGTAGAATTTTTATTATAAAATTAATTTTGTTTATATAGCTCAATTTTATAGTCTATTTTTAATAATTTAAAATATGGTAAAACAAAATAAATGTTTCAATCGTACGTATTTTAATTTATACTTGTATTAATCAAATTTAATTGGCATATTTACATATATTTTTATAAAAGAAATTAATTTAAAATTCAACCAAATATATAATTTATTATTAAATTAATTTTCAAATTTTATTATTAATTTTGCTTGTATGCATTATAATATCTCTTGATAAATTGGTATTTACTTTCTATAATAATAGCAATAATTAAAAAATAGTAATATTATTCAATTAAAAACGTATTTTTAAACCGTATTTTTAAGTCTAAATAAATATATTCTTGTTAAATAGGTAACTAAAAAATTATTATATATCAATAAGAAATAGGTCGTCTATTTTATCGTTACACTTTTCAAAATTTCAAGTAATAATTTAATTTAAACACTGACACAATACTATATAGATAAATTAGTTTAAAATTTAAACTAATTTATATTTAATATAAAAATAAAGTTTATAGTTTTAAATAAAATTTAAAGATAATAATGTGACGGTGTCACGTTATCACGTTTACTTAAAAAAGTATTATTATTAGTGATGGGAAATATCGAATAGAAACTATCGAACTATTCGATAGTTGTCCACTATTCGAACTATTCGATAGTCATTCAAAAAATATTCGATAGTTACACAATATATTCGAATAGTTTTTAAACTATTAGATAGTCTATTCGAATAGTTTTTAAAACTATTCGATAGTTTATGCTAAAAATAAACTATTCGGTTGTATAAACACAATTTGAATAGTTATACGATAGTTTAAAATATTTGAAAATGCCAATCACTAATTTTTACTATTATTAATTGTATAATAATTTATTTATAAGTGTTCGTTAATTATCTTCTTATTATAATTAAGTATACTTAATAAAAAAATTTAGGTAGAACTAATCGAATATTTTTTAAAAACATTCGGTAGCCCATTTGAATAGTTTATGCTAAAAATAAACTATTCGGTACTATAAAAACTATTCGAAAATGCCCATCACTAATTATTATCATTGGTAACAAGACACATTGTTGTGAGTTTATAAACAGTGTTTATANTGATCCGTAACATAAGTTTACCAACGACGGGTTAAAAAATTAAAAATTACATAGACAATAATAACATCAGTTCTTTAGATTAAATCTTAAGTCTACTTTATAATGTTTTATGATGTATTAGATTAAATTAAAAACAAATAACGATATTATTTTATACCTACTAATTCTATGCTTAAACTTAAATAATTACATGTTATACCTTGTCGGTAAGTAAGTAAAAAAAAATATTCAGTCATTAGTTTTTTTAATATCAAATAGTTTAATTTTAGTATTTACCTAAGTACTGCAAATGACGTCTAAGACGTTCATTTTCTCTGTTACCGAATAATATATTAAAAATAATTTAAAAATATACTATAGTCTATACCCTTATCGGTTCGTTTTCGTGGTGAATATTAGAATAATAATATTTCAATATCTCATGTTTTTGTTTACTTGAAATGTTACAAAATGCATTGCATCTAATATTTCTATGATTAATATAATAAACTAATTTTTTTATTAAATAACATAAATAATTAAAAATTTCGCTATGAGGCCCCTTTAACAACGAGGCCCGCGGAAAATCCCGCCTTTACACATATGTAGTTCCGCCTCTGATAAACACACTAACTGCCAATACAGAAATTATATCCATTGCTAGTGATAATTGACAATAAACACTCCGTGACTGTAACAGCGATGTCATAAAAAACCAAAAAGTTAAAAATAATTCAAAAAATAAGCTTAAAACAATAATGAACGAAAAATACTAGTATTATTGTGAAAAAAAGCGTGGGGGGTTTGTGCCATAATTTTCGTATATTGAGCGGCCGATGGTTTTTTTCACAATAATACTAGTATTTTTCGTTCATTATTATTTTAAGCTTATTTTTTAAATTATTTTTAACTTTTTAGTTCAATATGCTTTTGAAGCATGTTTTTCGGTTTTTTATAAACTATATTTATCTTTCACTTTTTAGTTTTTTATGACATCGCTGTTACAGTCACGGAGTGTTTATTGTCAATTATCACTAGCAATGGATATAATTTCTGTATTGGCAGTTAGTGTGTTTATAAACTCACAACAATGTGTCTTATTACCATTGATAATAATAATGCTGTGTCCCTGCAAGAAATGTATACAACTGTTCATTATAACATAGTTTTTTCTAGTCGGGGTGTCAGTATGTGTTTAGCGTTGATAATGGTAACATTGTTTCCGAAATACGTATCCGCGACTTTTCATTAATTTTTTTGTGGCTTTGAGTTTAATATTTTTAATATTTTTTAGTTTTTTAAATTAATAATATTTTTAATATAGTTTTAATTTTACTTAAATTTAAGTATGTTTAATTTTGTAGTACTTCAATGCGGAGATGTATATATTATCAATCTCCGATATTTGTCAAAATATTAAAAATATAATTTTAACACTTAAATCTTAAAAAAAAAATTTTTTTTTATAGTTTTGGACTAAAAATTTAGTCAAACTGCATTTAGTATAAAATAGTTATTTGTTATGACACGACTTACGTCGCAAAAATGTGGTCGACACTGGTTTTGAGGGTAAAGACCCGTGGGCCGTTTATTAAATGACCGACAACAGATTATTTTAACAAAAATAAAACAAACCGAAAAGATAAACACAGTAATAATAATCTTCGCATAATATCGCGGCACTTTCGCTGGCGTCGACGACGCGATGTTCGGCGTAATCCTTGGACGGCAAAATGGTTAGCAGCGTTGTAGGCGACGGTGCGCGGGTGCGGTTCGGCTGTCGACGTTGTCGCTTTCACAACGGGAGGAAGACTCTCGCACCATTTGCGGCGGGTCGTCGTCGGCCGTGCGGCATTTGCTGGACTTTGCACCGTAGCGTATAACACGCGGTGTTGGCCAGTCAAATATTCATAGCAGGGCGACGGCTGATAAAGGTGGCACGAGTCGCGGGGCATCGTGTATAACGAAGCGACGCGGGCCGTGTCAGTTATCTATTTTTAATAATAAAATTAGTAATTTTTTTTATATAAACAAATTTAACTTTATAATAAATAGTTGAATTATTATAATTACTCATATTTGAATATGATCATTGTCTAGTTATAATTATGAAAACAATTTTTGTTACTTTAGTTAATCTTTTCTATTCGTTCTATATCAGATGTTATAACCCTTATTTCGCAAGACATCTGTTTCCAATAAGTCAAAGATGTATTATATTTATTTAAACAAGAAAATCTATAATTCCTATGGATAGTATATATGGTTTCTCTAGAGCAGATGATACCCATGGAATTGATCCATTACTCAACTCGCTACAACATTGATGTAAAAATTCAACTGAAAGTTTACCACTGTATTCTTTATCGTATGACTCTTTTACGTAGAATAACAAAAAATCAAGTCGAAATGACTATTACCAACAAGAAAATAAAAACAGTCGCGCAAAATTTATTTGATTAAATTGTCCTGTCTATAAACAGGACAACAAAAAAAAATTTTTCCATTTACAATATTTAGATGAATCCTATATGGAGCCAGAAGCAAATTTTCATCTACTTTATCTAATTATTGTTAAACACAGAATTTTTTTTATTATTATTGTATGTATTTTCTAATAATGTTTATATCTTATTCTTAAAACATTTCTCTTCTGCTTCGTTTTTAAATTTTTAATAGTCATCACTATAATATATGTGGTGTTTCAAAAGATTTACGTCCTTATCCACGAGTTTGTTAATGTTAGAAAGAATTGTAAAAAAAAAAATTAAATAACTAATTTGTAGAGTAGATATTAGCAAAACATTTGTTGTAAAAATATCTTATTAATGTCTGTAGTAAATTATCTATAACATTTTAAATTTTATGAAAATTATAATTTTTATGCTTAATTTTACGATATCAAACATTACAATATGAACTGAAAAAAGGACTGAAGAAAACGAAATTTATTTAGGCTAAATAATAGTTATAAGTTTGTTGATTTTTCTATGAAAATTACCTACGCTTGATTGAGAGTCTGTAAATGAACGAAAAAATTTTTTAGACGGATGATAGTAGATCACTTTTTATTTATTTATTTATCACAAGTCATAACACGGCCTTTGTTTATTCCAAATGATAAGATATTTGATATAATAATCCTAAATGATTTTCTGATACACTGAAATTAACAAATTTTTAATTAATATAAATTATTAAAAAATCCATCTGGTACCTAATGATCATTTAAAACTTTAATTTTAAGGGTGGTTGAATAATTAATTTAATTCGCCGAAAAATTTAATTCTAGAGTTAATGCATAATTAATCTAGGTATTTAATTCATTAAATTAATAAAAATATCTAAAATAAAAAAAAGCCAATGTTTTATACATTCAGTAATATTCTAAAAGCTAAATCTTAACATAGTGTAGTTATAATGAACTAAACTCTGTTAAGGTATTATTTTAAAAATAATTTATGTAATTTTTCTTTAAACGAAACTAAAAAAAACATCACTGGTGACACTGAAATTGATGGAAGAATCTTTAAACGTATTGATTCCATCAATTAAGTTACTTGACAGTGATGTAAAGGGTATTCAAAATATCTCAATTATCAATGACAATAATAAAAACGGTATCCTCCCGGATAACTCAATCAAATCGAACGAAAAACCATGTATGGCAAGAATATATGACATCATTTATTACTAACACTTCACTGAAGGTATACAAAAACATGCCATCAAGATTTATGCACAAGATAAAAAACATTTGGTTCATTTATTTTTATTTATAGACATTCTCTTAAAAATTTTCATTTGTAAAATTACACCAAAATATAAGTTAACGTATTTGTAATGAAAATAATGCAATACAAATAATTTTGGCAAATAATACAAAAATTTCTAGAAAATAACTTAACTTTTTAAAAAAAGATAAAGCCTAAATTAATAATTGATAAAAAAAAATTATATTTTATTACTTTACTAAAATTTTAATTTAAAACAATAAAATTAATGCAATTAATTTGGAGGGTTCACATTAATTTTTTAAATATTCTAATTCACAATACGAATAAATAACTTTAAACTNTATATATATATATATATATATATATAATTTTATTGTATTTCATGCATTATACGCATAACAATAATAATTTAGAGATTTTGTTTAATACTAATAGTAAATTTACAGATACATGAGAGATCACACAAAGTCGAAAAGCCTTTTGTCTGTTATTTGTACAGAAAACAATCAGTCAGTTGAGGAATTATAAATACCACAAATCTGTATATGAATGTACCAACATTTTCTGGAATTTGTCCTGAATGCGATAAGCAGTTTAATGATCGTGGTTATTTAAGTTCACACATGAAAATTCACCAAAACTGTAAAAAAATATATTGCAATATTGCAACAAAAGTTTCTATCAGTGAGTTGCTTACAATATACACATGCGTATCCATACTGGTGAAAAACCTCATTGTTGTAGCCACTGGAACATATCATTTTCCAGAAAAATGCTACTCAAACAACATTTGCGAATACATACTGGTGAAAACCCGTTTTCTTGTGTCATTTGTCACAAATCGTTTGCAGATAGGTCCAATACGACATTACATACGCGACTTCATTCAGGAATTAAACCGTATGTGTGTGTAGAGTGTAAAAAATCTTTCACTAAAAAACATCATCTTAAAAAAAACATGAATTGTTACACTGGTATCAAGCCTTATAAATGTGGATTAACATTCAGCCAAAGTAGCAACACGAGATCACACCTAAAAAAATGACATATTTCGTTAGATGAATCAAAATTATTTAGTTAAATATTATTATGTTGATTAACCAAAGACTACTTAATCACTATTTGATTAAATTCATGTGTCGAAGTTGTTACATACATAGTTCATTGAAAAGAAAACTGCCCCTAATAACTAGTCTGCTATAGTATTTTACATTTCATATTAAAATTTCAAAAAAATATTTATACACACTGTAAAAACCAGTAACATTAATGTGAATGCTTTATCATTAAAAATTAATGCATGTATTAATTTCAGTTTGTTAAAACTTCAAAATATGTTATTAATGTAATATAGTATGAATGTTAAATGACAGAAAAATTATTATATTTATATAAATAAAAATAGACGTATATAAAATACAAGTGTATTAAAATGAAACACGAATAATTTTTATCATTACATTTTGAAATTATTAAATCATGAAAAAGTTAGACAAAATTTCACAAAATTATAAATATTTTTTTCCGATAAAGGAAAATCTAAAACTTCAAAATTAAATAATTAAAAAAACTTAAAAATGTTCTATCTATGTTGTTTTTTTATCAATTATTTCTATCTTTATAATTTGTAAACCATACAATCATCATAATATAAATAAAAAATGCTAACAATTAAAAATTAAGAACCAAAAGGTTTAATCTGTACTTTTGCCTCTTAAAAACATAATATTATAAAAACAATAAAATATTCTATAGTTAAGTAAGTAATCGTTATTCTGAACAACGTTTAAAAAAACTAAATTGATTTAGACAAATAAAAAAATTAAAATTGTTTCACTTATTTGGCTCAAAAATTATTTAATGTTTCATATTCTCCATTTAGAACATTGTGTTATTTATTTAACCTCAGGCCAAATTATGAAAAATTAAATTTTGATTTAACAATGTGTTAAGACTAAGCGATTCCTGTAAGGCGTTTAAAGATTAAATGTCGGTTAACTTGCTGAGCAACAGTCGCATTTACGATTTCCATTGAACAGGGTCGTATGAGGTTTATGTCGCTGTCGCAAAATACTGATACCATAAACATGGTCTAGAGGATTTCCGTGGTTTTTTCCGGCCGCAAACAAAGCGCGTTTACGTTTCCGACGGAACAGGGCCTCATGTGTTGGTTGTTGTGAGTCGATATACTTTCACACTCTCACATGTTAACAAACCACGCGCGTGCGCTCAGTTATGTCACATTCACCGAAACCGATACCAGGGGATTATGGTCTGAGTGTGCACTCGTCAGCTGTCAATGAAAGAGCGTCAGTGACGCCCTCGCATGTGCGTGGGTGGACCATCCGAGAACAATGAACGCGGCCCGTTTAGCGTCCATCGCTATCAGGGGCCCAGAAGCTACAATTTATATTTCATTTTATGGTTATCAAACCGTTAAGAATTATAAATATTATATTTTCGATATAATATTTATTTAAATAATTTAAAAATTAATATATATAAAAATGTGTTCTAATTAAATAAAATATGCTACGGTTATAATCTCAATTTCTATAATAAATTATAAGACGTTATGTAAAAAGCTACGTTTGATATTTTCAAAGCTTTTATAGAAAAAATTGTAATTACAATTACAATATAAATATAATTGTACAATAAATTATGGTAATAAAAAAAAACTATACAAAATAACCAATAGTCAGCAACAAACAGTCGATATATTTATTAATTCGATAAATTATATTTAAAAAAAAGTAACAAAAAATAATTGAATAATCTAAAATTTATAAAAGAATCGTTTTATTCGATTTTAATTTTTTATCACCGGTTGGTAATTGTTTGAAATATTATAATTATGGTTTAAATTAAAATTTTACACTCTACATTATTAGCATGAACAATTATTTTATAATAACTAGATACGATTTTTTTCCTCTAACACAAGTTATGTATAGCATCGGAAAAAATTATTTTTTTAATTTTTTAATCGAAAATCTATAATTATAACATTTAAATTTTGTTTGCATAGTATACTTAATACTAAAAAATTGATTGCATTTTTTATTCTGGACTGTTAGATTATTATTATAAGTATTCGTATATGTAGCGCTATCTAGTTAAATAATTAGAGTAAACACGCTTCTCCACTGTATATAGATGACCAAAAATTATGTTACTAATTATAGTACCCTGGTATGTAGAAACCATGAATTGACGGTAACTTATAAAATAGTAAATTAAATAGATTTATAACAATATATAATTTAAATAAATATATAAGATAAATAAACCATTTTTACCAATAATAATACTATTATTATTCTGAAAGCTTCAGTTTTATTCACTATGTATAAAAATAGATAAAACTGTCACAATTAAATAGTACTGTCCTAAAGCTAAACCTTATAGGTAGGATAAAGCAATTATTTTAGCGACTATATAATTAATTTAAACATTTTTAGACTATTTAGGATGAAAATTAATGACTTAAATTACTAAAATATATTTAATTTGAAGATGCAAGATTTCTTTTTTTTTGGCATGACTCTGGAATCATTTTTCCAACAATCGTAATATTTGTAAAGTTTTAAGAATGCTACCTTATGTATTCAAATATGAATTCAGAAAAATAAAAGAATATTTAATTGTATTAGTTTATAAGCATTACACATAGATTCTATACCGAAGGTGATTTTTCTAACACTAGCCGATCGATTTCTCTTAAAAGTAATAATGTTAAGGAAATTATTTTTGGAATTTTTAAGTTACACATATTTATTATTAATTATTAATAACTTTTTTAATTCACTCCTTATAAGATTGTCAACTTAATTTTTTTAAATGACAACATACATATTTAACTAGTTCATAAAATAAAAATCAATCTAATTAAGGTATGACTGATCGATAACAAATTTTGATCCATTATTTCGGAAGTTAATAATATCGTATGTTACAACTTCGAGAAGGGGCCCTGGTAATTAGCATTCCACTTCCATTTATATAACCACCCGAGTGATGGAACTCGAATTTTACACACGACGAGGTTCATACGTCACGTAAACCACGTGTGTTACACTTACACCTTAGTTTCTACACATGCTGTTTATGAGCCCCTGGTGCAAGTGTGCCTCCGATACGAGTACAACGCCAAATACACACATGCATACATGTCACATTACTACTTTTATACTTAAGTACTACTTTTTATGTTCGTTCTATAAAATTTAATAGAACACAATATCAACGAGTTAGTAAAATGCATGTTACATGTTTATGAAATATAATGAATAGTTTGTCCAAATATTTTAGCTAAAAAAATGATCAATGTTCAATGTCATTATATGATTGTTTATATAGACGTATGGTTTTTCGCAGATGATACTCGAGGAATTCAATAGGGAAATAAAGGAATTCAGCCCCATTTCTCTTCCTCCCTCACAAAGTTAAAAAACTATACACATTATTATGTAAAATATTTCTTAAAAAGAGGGAAATACATATAGCCATCAGCAGATTTTTTATTTTGTTGTGTCTACTAGCTTGTATACTACACAAGTTCAATACTTAATTTTATCTAATTTCATAGTTACTTTAGGTACTAACAATGGATACGCTTATAATTTATACATTTTAAACGTCTGTTTTTTAATTAAATAATTTTGTTGGCAATTTGAAAGTGTTCATTAATTAATAAAAAATCATCTATGATTCTAGTAGATAAAAAATTATTTAGCGATTTAAAATTATTACAATTTACTTTTGAATGACTCACATTTCATATCTATTGTAAAATTGAAATCAAGTGAAAAATATTTTGTTTTATAATTTTACAGTACTAAATTTTTTTATTAATTTATACTACGTTTTTTAATTTAATTAACACATTTCCATGTTTCATGAGTAATGTATATCTATTGTAAGTTAAAGTATTGAAAAAATCAACATTTTTATTTAATTAACATAAAAATTTTCTTAAGTGCTGAATTTTTCAAAAATGAATATTAAATGTTTAAATAAAATTATTTATTTTAAACCCAATCAAACTTTTTAAATATGACGATGTAAAATTAACTTCAAAAATAGATGTTAACACTAAATAATTAGTCTGAGATGTGTTTCTCTTATCGTATAGTACCGCTACTTGCGGGGCTTTAATTGACTTGGCATTATTAAGGCTTTTGTCTCATGTCGTCAGTGTCATTTCGTTAAACAAAACGTTTGAATTAACATGTACGACGTCTAGTTTTAAAAACAGGTTACTCCAAATGATACTTTGTGTAATTTTGTTTAGTGTTTCCATCACTTGTTTAGGCCTTGATAGCAGTTCCGTTGTTAGCGAGCTTACACCACTAGAAGCTATAAGAGCATCAACTAACAATGAAAGTTTGGAATGTTTTGAAAATGTTAACGCACCACTGCTTTTTTGGAATTTATCATCTTTGGAAACAAAATTAAGCTTGGCTAAGTCATTAAGCCTTCATGACGTGACTCTAAAGCGTGGTTGGTATTTTAGACCCATATAATTAGTTCTTAAGAATAAATTTACTTGTAGATATACAATTTACAAGTAAAATGTGTATAAATTGCAGTGTTGATTTTTGTCGTTTATTTATCCTTAGATTTATTGTCGGCGGTATGCATGTGGTTATGGACCACGGAACCAGGTTTATTGTCATTACAAGTATACTTGGGCGATCAACTTATCAAAACTTATAAAAATCGAACTAACGCATATAGTTCTTTTTTATCCGATCAGAACAACACATACTGGAGATGCGACGATCACATTTTTGTCGAACACATTGAAGTTCTTTTTGAAAATCGAATCACGTCAGTACTTAATGATATTTGAAAAACAGAATTTGTAAATTAAAATCATATTTGCTCAAATTTCAATTTTAATTTGTTCGTTAAAGAGTAGTGAAAAATGGTAAATATTAAGAAATGTTATTACAAGAACGAATGACAACCGATAAGTAGATAATGTAACAACATAATTAAAATTCCATTAGTATTGTTCGTTTAATCATTTATATTTTTTAATCATTCAACATATATTTGTTACAAATTATTGTATATTATTATTAATATTCATAAGACCGCTTAATAGTATTTGTATAAGGTCAGGCCTTAATATATCAAAAATAAAACATAAGTAACCTATGATCATTTTGAACGCTTTACAACAATCCGTGTACTGTAAATTTACTCCACTTTTAATATACACATTACTTTATTTATTATGCCTTCTAATATATTAGATTTATTATTTAGTTGTGAAAAAATAAACATTAAAAAATTCTTGGAATAATTGTAAAAATATATTACTAACTCAAATATTCAACTTCGACATGTGTACATTTAAAGATAATGTAAAAATATTTCTTTACTTAAATGTGTCAAATTATGTACTTGAGTAGTTGCGATTCTGATATTTTGCAGCATGGTTATAGAAGCGAATTTATCAACAATTGTAATTAACCAATGTGATAAATCTGATGAATCAAATATTATTAATGGTACTAATAAATGTCACCACACAACCGACTGTGTATACAAAAAAGGGTCTCATCAATTTAGCATTGGTAATTATTGGTGTGTATGCAAGTCCGGTTATTATTCAATTCTTAAAATGTTTGATGGAATGAACATTGAAGGTAAAATTATTACTTTAAACTAAATAATAACTATCAATAGAATGTAATGTTATTTAATCTATTTTTAGAAGCTACATTTAATGAAATAGAAGAAAAATATTCATGTCACCCGTGTTCAGAAGGTTGTGATATATGTAGTGGACCAGAAAGTTGTATGGCTCAATTTTCTTGGGTTCAAAGGTAACTTTTATCAATTTGTCAGAACACATTAATAAAAACAATGAAATAGATTAATTGGAGTTCTAAAATATTCGTGAGATTTTTTGACCTCATTTCGAAATAAAATTCTAGCTAATTTCGATGAAATTTTAGGTTCGAATCAAAGCTACGAAAGTATTTTATCAAGGTATTTTTTCTTATTCTGCTTATTTAATTTTAAAATTTATAAAATTCGATACTCTATATTACTAGAAAATATTTAAATTAAATAATGTCATTTTTATAAAAGTATAGAGTGATAATTATAAAATTTATATCACATGCTCACTAGATACAGGTATAATAGTTAATATATTTCATTCAAAGCATATTTTGTATTTATATCTAGTAAATCAATTAGATTCATTATAATTTTAAATTTTATTTTATTATTATTGTATAAATATCAAATGTTTAATGTTTTAATAATTTTCAATTATTAAAATAATAGGTAAGTACCAGAAACTATATGGGAAATTATGTTTACATAATGAATTGCGATTTTTTGGACATTCCTATTTTTATGAAAATAATCGTTTATCTTCATTTTTTTAAATAAATTAAGTAAAGGTAAATACCTCTACTAAATGTAGTCGATTGGTCTGTTTGATATTTATTATATTTATAGTATTAAAGTATATTTATTAATAACATATTCATAAAATAGCACCATTATCGGCTCAAACATTGACAGTAATTGGGTATTTTTTATATGTTTATAAATATATTCTATTTAATTTTTCAGATAACATTTTATAGAAATATATTAAGGGGTTATATACAATTATGCGGGTCAAAAAAAATATAAAAAATTTTTTTAGCATTTTCTTAAAGTATATACTTTTGAGATAATTTTCCCAAAATTTCATAAAGATCTGCGCATTAGGATAAAAGTTACAGCTCTTTTTAGCGAGTCACTCCCAAGTACGTGCCGTCTGTGCATTACACGTCATTAGCACTTTGATTACCTGGCTTATCAGGTCAATTTGTTTGATGACTTTGCCACTGGGGAAAACTATTCTGAAACGTTTACGTGAATTTTTAATCATCTACTTCAATTTTGAACCTTTTAGTCATTAGTGGCAAGTCTTTTAGAGACTTCATCGGAAGTTTTCAACGGTTTTGCACTCATTCACACAATTTTTATGAATTAAGAAATTCGTTAAAAATGACTTTGAGAGACAAAGTTACTCGAACTATTCGTTCAGAAAATAAAAAACAAAAATCGAGACCAAAAAAACAAAGGCTGTTGTTGAATCCAAAAACTGTTGAGACCAATGAAAGTAGCTTCAGTTCATCTTGGAAAAAATTGAAACTCGGGATGAAGTGAGTGTGCCAATCATTCAGTCGAATATCGAATTGTGAATTTTCTCATGGTATTCACAACTCTATCGCAATACGTAAAATACAAAACTTGTAATAGTAACGTCAAATTTACGGCTACGGATTCACGAGGATTTGGCTTCAAAATTGCAGTTACTTGTGACAATTGTAAAGAATGAAAAATTAATTCATGCTCTTTGTTGAAACATTCTTATGAAATTAATCAGAGATTCATTCTAACAATAAGATTGTTGGGTTTGGGAGTAGCAGGCTATGAAAAATTCTGTGGTCTTATGGACTTACCATCGTTCTTGGCTCAAACAACTTACGATATTATCGTGAAACACATTTGTGTAACTGTAAAACAGGTGTTTGATCAATTTAGCAAACGTAATGTTCGTCAAGAAATTGAAAATCTTCAGGGATCGAATAAAAAAAATTTAACAGTATCCGGCGAGGGTACATGGAAAAAACGCGGATTAATTTCATTATTCGGAGTTGCTTCTCTCATTAGATACTATACAAGCAAAATTGTGGACCTTATTGTAAAAAGAGCATTCTGTAAATTATGCCAAATATGAGAGAGTAAAAAAGATGAAGCCGATTATGAAGAATGGAAAGAAAACCATGAATCTGTGTGCACTGCAAATCATTCTGGAACAGCTGGTAAGTTAATGTTGATGCCATGTTCGAAATGTTCAAACGTTCTGAGAATATGCACGGCGTAAAGTATAAAAATTATATTGAGGACGGCGACTCGAAAACATTTTCTGCTATAAATAATACAGTCATATAAAAATTTAGACGTTAAGAAGAAAGAGTGTATTGGTTATGTACAAAAAAGGATGGTTATTCGATTACATGACACAAAGAAGAAAAATAAAGGACTTGGTGGAAAAGAAAAATTAACCGGCAAAATGATAAATAAATTAACCGTATATTACGGTTGGCAATTCTGCGTATCCTGATTCAGCAGAAGCAATAGCAAATGATATCTGGGCAACTTATTATCATTACAGCTCCACTGACATACACCCACAACACAAAATCGTTAAAATCGCCGCCTACTCTTCAGCCTGCATTTTCAACGAAGGGAATATCGCCATTTTGAAGATTTGCCCGTTGGCAACATCAAGTCGACGTCCTGGAAGCGGCTGCGGACGCAAAAGAGACACTTTATGGCCCCGAAAATGATGACTTTGTGTAAGCCCTCAAATGTTTTTTTATCTGAGAGAAAGCAGTATCTCAAACTTTAAATGGCGTTTTCTCGAAATGCGAATCAAAAGTCCCGTTGCGGTGAACATAGTTTCTTGAAAACCATGTCACTTGTGGATCTAATTTTTTTGCGGGCTTGTTTATAAATATAATAGCTTGTCTTTGAAAGGAAAGGAATTTTCATTTTGATATCTACTTTTTTTTTTTTGAGGCTAAAAAAACTGAATTTTTAGACCTTTGATATTGATTATCAAAATAAAAAGTTTGATACTTTTTATAAAAACTTTCGTAATTTTTGTAAAAATGTTTATATCATGAATCCTTCGTTCAAAGACAACGTGGTAATATAAACTAAAGAATATATATTTGTTTTTGTTGATTTCAGCTGAACTGTTTGCCACTTATTATGCTCACCGCAAGGGGTCCTCGAAAATACCGTGTTCCACCTCAACTATTATAGTAGCTACAAATATTAATATTTTTCTTCGAAAAATTCCATAAAATATCTTCAAATATATACAAATAGATACGTAGTAGTTTATTTGAGAAAAAACCTATCGCCTTTTGAAAAAAAATTTTTCAATATACTTATTTTTTCCGAGAATAAGTGTATATAACCCCTTAAACAAAATAAAATCATGGTACTAATTGTTGTACTTAGATATTTCTAATATAAATTTATTTCCATACGTATTGGTCTTAATACTTAGTATTTAGTAATAATTGATAAAAATAACCATGGTTTTAATTGGGAAAGCCAATTCTGAACAAAAGCAAATTCAGGTCGATCACGGCTCACCCTAACTACGTGTCCGGATTTACGCGCGTCACTGATTGTTTTAATAATTACAAAAACAAACTTTTTCAAAGACATTTTTAATAATTAATATAAATAAATACATTAATTAATTATTAAAATTTATTTTTATCAAATTATATTTAATTAATATTATCATTTTTAGGAGTATTTTTCTAAGTATAACCATATTATGTATTGTTTTAACGATTATACTAATTTGGTTCGTACACAAAAACCGTCGTATTAAAGTTTTTAGAATCGCAAGTCCAACGTTTCTTATTATAACTTTGGTTGGCTGTATTATAATGTACTCAGAAGTAAACTATAGTAATTTAAACAATTAATCTTAGAACTTATGTTCTAAAATTGACTAATCTAATTTAGATGGGTATTATGTTTCCGCAATGTAATCAGCAATTATGTGTTGCAACAAAATGGACAAGGCATTTTGGTTTTTGTATAACATACTCGGCTTTACTTATGAAAACTTGGAGAGTGTCTTTGACTTATAGAGTTAAATCAGCACACAAACTGAAACTCACTGACAATCAACTTTTACAATGGATGGCTCCGATTTTGGGTATTATTTTAGTTTACATGGGAGCATGGACATTTAGTGATCCACCTCAAGTAGTATTAGCAAAAAGTGAAGAAGAGACTAAATTCTGGCAATGTTCAAATGATTGGTGGGATCATTGCTTAGCTGTTGGTGTGTTTCAAATAAATAGATTTAAAATTTATTAATTTTAATAAAATTAACCAGATTAAGAGTGTTAAGTTGAATTTTTTTTATTTAGGCGAAGTTTTATTTTTAGCATGGGGTGTTCGAGTTTGTTATGTTGTTAGAAACGCTGAATCGTTTTATAATGAAGCAAAACTCATAAGTTTTGCAATTTATAACATATTTATTGTAAACGTCACTATGATGGCTATCCAGTAAGATATACAATTAAATAATTAATCATATTTCATATAAATTATATTATTATTGAGTCGTATAAGTTTTTGTAGGAATGATGAATAACATACTTACAATAGTGACTACAAAGTTTTTTTGATGAATCCAAAAAACACAAAACATTTAATGCAAAGCTGAAATATTATTAAATTTAAATTCTTTTGAAATTAGAACTATTATAATATTTTTAACAATTGTTAATTTTAATCACTGAAAAATTTTTCTTTCTTTTTAGTTTTTTACTGTTTCCCAATATCGGACCTGATCTAAAATATACACTTGCGTTCATAAGAACTCAGTTGAGTACATCTGTAACTATAGGTTTAGTATTTGGTTCAAAAATAGTACGAGTGATAAACGGTCAAGGAGATAACTGGGATACTAAATTACAACCAAAGGGTATTATTTCTTATGAAATGGATGAAATTTGTGACGAACCAATTGATTTGCAGACAGAAAATGACCAATTAAAGGAAGAGATAGTAAAATTAGCTACAAATATAGGAATAATGAGGAATTCTTTAATGCTTGTAAATAATAGGCACCTTAAAAAAAATGGATGCCCAAGTTGTAATCCTTTAATTTTAAGCCAACAGAGCCCAACAAATAAATCAGGAGGCTTTTTTAGAAGTTTAGGATCAAATAATTGCTTATCACCATTGTCTAATACTTAAAATAGTCATACACTTTAAAAAGTTTATATATTTCTTTAATTATATTAAGATAATTACTTTACAAATAAAACAAAATAAACAAATCAAATACACACATAATTATACAATTATTAAATAAATATAATACATATATATGCAATATATTACAATAATTTAATTGTATACTTTAAAAATATGTGAAAAATACTATGTATCAAATAAGAAATAAATTCCAAGATATAAAATAAAGCATAATCATTGTAGTAAGGTATTTTATAATCACAAATCAAATTTTATAACTTAATCAGTCATACTTTATTTACTAAAAAAAACTTATTTGTTTTCTAACAAATTTCATTCTTACATAAAAAGTTGAAAAAAGAATAGTATTTTAACAATTCTAATTACAAACATCACATAATGTAATTAAATTATAATTTACGATTTTGAGTACCCATATATTAAGTTAATTTATTTTGTCATGGTGATTTAATTTTTATAAAAAAAATTTATGTTCAATAATAACAAGTACTTTTGTTAACATTAACAAAAAAAAGTAGTAAGAGTTGGCAATTTTATAGAATGGAACATGGTTAAAATTAGATAAATTCACTTTATCACAGTAACATTGCCCTATAATTAACAATTATTTTATTTTCATTATCAATCAAATCGAAACAAGTGTACAGTAAAAAAAAATTGATCTCAAGAATATTTATATTACATAGGAAAGTTTTAAATATTGAATATAAATTTAATGAGCTAGATTTAAAGGTTCTTGTAGCTCTTGAACGGGTACGGGTACACATTGTTCTTCATAATTTTGTATATTTGCTACCATTGTGACATCTACATTATTAGTTTGTGGATCAAACTAAAATTAAAAAATATACATAAATATAAACTAAAGTTTAACACATATATTAATATATACAGCATAAAAAAAAAAAACACTTGATTTGTACTAATGAGCACGTAATCTGTTAACTTTTTAACATGCTAACCTTTTTTGGTCTACCTCTCTGCTTAGGTCCAGGGAGATGTGCCATGCTGGCATGTTGTTGCATTATATGGTATCTTAGTTTATCTGATCTAGAAAAACTTTTTGGACATTCTGTACACATAAAAGGCCTTTCGCCTGTATGAGTACGATGATGTCTTTGTAAATGTGAAAGTCTTAAAAATGATAAATTACAGTAAGAACATTGGTGAGGTTTTAATCCTGAATGTGTCTGCATATGACGGCGTAGATTCTGCTTATTGAGAAATGTTCGCTGACACGTTGGGCATTCAACAGCTCCAACCATTTTGTTTTGAGATTCAGAATTGGTTAATGTTTGGAAATTAACTTGGTATGGTTGATACTTTGGCTGTGATAGTATAGTAGGTTTATTTTCATCGATATGTTCGTCCATCATAACTTGTGGGCTCAACATATTTGTGTGCTCAAAAGAACTATTGTTATCATAAGAATCTTCCTCTGCAAGGACCTGATAATGTCTCGAGTCTGTTTCAATAGAACTGTTGCTGCCATTTGTCTTAAGTAAATAATTAATAAAAAAATTAGTTATTTAATATTTTGAATTAATTTTTTTTTTTACTAACCATTTCTAACTTTACATTTACATCGGTGGCATCTAAGGTTTCTGATTTAATTGGAATATGATTAAACATTGGTTTATTTTTTGGTGGATCAGATACAGTTTTTTCAGATAACCCTGCAAAATAAAAAAACAATTTTAATGAATGTTATAAACTATATTAAAATGAGGAATAATGTAACCAAATTCATAAAATAGTAATTCTAAAAACACTTCTTTAATTATTCTCTTACTCACACGCATATCTCTTTATTTAGCCATAGTTTACTGGCTACTAAAGTAACATCACTTGTTAATGAACACCACTGAATTTTATATGTAAAAAGGAGAACCTGATTGCAACAAGTTGTAATTAGTAGTATTTATAACAATCAAATCATCTAAATTAGGTTTTACTACAACATCATTATATTTGATATAGAATATAATTTACTGTTCATTCACTGAAAACGTCTAATTTTTAACACAACATAATGAATTAAAATGTTTATAAAAGTTGAATTTAAATATATTTACATTGCTATTATTAAGAATTTTTCAGAGAACCAATATGTATTAATTTCATGAGCTTTTAAAGATTGAAAACTCTGAACTGATCCATTTACTAATGATGTTACTCTATATTGTTACTATGTACTACAAAGTATTTAATTGTAAGAACTTCAATTTTTTTTTTACATTACTCTAGTAAAATTTATTAAATTTATTTTGTTAATTATAAAATACTAATATATTTAACACTAATATATTACCTTTTATTTGTAACTCCCGGGCAACTTTTAAAAGTGAACTCAAATTACTTTCATGAACTTCAACTGAACCTACATACATATATTGACATAAACTCTGCATTTCATGTAATGTTACACCTCGCATAATAACAGTTGGATGTTTACAAGGATTTTCTTGAAAAATTGTTTCAAAGTACGGACTACATGCTGATAAAATTAATTTGTGAGCCTAAAAATAGAAATGAAGAATTATAATTAGCATTAATATATAATGTTTGATAACATAAATAATAAAAATCTATTACCTTGAGTAAACCATCTTGGCATGCAATTGTAACATCAACAAGAATCTGCTCATTGAAAAGACATTCGAATAAAGATCGCAAATTTTCCAAGTGGTTGTTCCACCGAAGATGAAATGATTTATTGGTTATTTCCATGTCATTTGTCATCTAAAATATTAAAATAAAAAATGTGTAAAAGATTTGATATTTAACAAAAATATAATATTTTATTTTGGTTGCAATATTTATTTCAACATTTTTATTTTTGATAAACATTTTTTTTCTTCTATAAAATTTTTTGCAATTTATGATATAATTGCAAAATTATATATATTATATATCTTTTTATGATTTGATTAAATAATTGAGATACTTAATGTTTAAACACTAATTATTTAGGATTTATTACATATAAACGTAACACATTACATGTACATTATACTGATACTGTACCATTATTTTAGTTGAGTTATGAAGTTTTAACATACAAGAATTTTGGTCACCCCTGCTGTACCCGTGCATCGTGCCAGGGGGCCTTAAATTTAATACAGAGTAATACATACACACATACATAACATAGGAAAAAAATGGAATGGTCGGGGGCGTGCACGTTGCGGGGGGAGAAAGACCGACCTTTTTGGATAGACCTGCTGCATGCACGTCCCGGCTATGGGGTACCATTATAAAGCCTTAGTGAGGGTCCCGCATATGCGAGAACCAAAGCAAAGAGAATATTTAAAAACGTTCCAAACAAAAATTTCCCATACAAATAGTATCATATTAAACTAAGAGAAAATTTGACTCGCGGCACGTCCACAGATTCTTTTTGTCCTATACAAAATAAAACATAATGTATTAAATATGTTGAAAATTTAGGATGAAATCTATTTTAAATTTATTTCTAGGAATAATATTATAGGTCTTATTCATTTTGTGTACACTTAGATGTGCGGTAACTCATAGTCCCAACAACAGGTAGATATTAAAACGGTTTTTTTTTTTTGTAGACCATAAAAAAAGGTTCATGCCAAGATTGAATAGAAAAACATGGATTATTATGTTTCGTTTTGACACAAGTACTAGATAAATTGTATTGCCTGTAAGTTATTCGATTGAAATATTAATTCAAATAATATATAAAATCCATTTACACTATTACTCGGAAATGAGGTCATGTTTATTTGTATTTAGTTCAATGAAATTACAAAACGGTACCTCAATATTAGGTAAACCATGCTAAACAGCCTCTATGACTTTTTAATTTTATGTTTCTTTAGGCCCTTAAAACCTAAACGTCAACAACAAAAAAACAAAACGTTTGTACAAAATAAAATATTAAATGATATATTTTGCCCAAACAATTGTAAATTAGTTCATGTCTACATGTTTTTTATTTATTGAGTAGAATCGCTGGAGTTACGAGTTCTATCAGCCAATGCATATTTTTTCTAAATTTGGCTCTTGAATCTGACGATGCAGTAACCCTTTTTTAAAAACATTTTTTTGTCTCGAAGTGCGGTGGCAGGAAGAGAGGAAAACTGCCACAAGGGAACCGTCTCTGCGATCGTTAAAAGTACGGGTCTCGCACAAAACGCACACGCCATGAGGGGAGGAGTAGCGCAAAAGGGGGATTAAAACAAGGGGGACCAACCCTTCATACAGTGACTCAGTGGGGGAATAGGGGGAATACCGAGTCGATAATAATGCATGTTTCAATGAGGGGAAAACCTACGGAAACAAACTAGAGGGAGAGAAAACGAAGCGTACCAAAAGCGATGACCAGAAATCCGGGGTTTCTCTTTAGAAAATATTGGACGACTAATTCTCAGATATTGGGTTTCTAATAATGAACAAAAAATTGTAGATAAATAAATGTATCCGTTAAACTGATGCCCTAATAATAAGAATGTTAAGGTATAAAAGCGGTAGGTGGTATTATGAAGTGAAATTTCGTTGTTGACAAAATATATGTACTAAGGTGAATTATGACTGATTTTATGATCAAAAATGCCATGATGGTATGACATAAAATGCATAACAAATAACAAGTTCAAACTGCAATCTATTCAAGTTAAACCATGATAAAAGCTAACGAAAACCAATAATTTTTTATTAAATTAAATGGCAAAAGTTTCTTTTTTACCTCATAAGAGAATAATATTCTATCCGCTTAAATAATATTACACATGCAGTAATTATTTTTATACAGTGCAGTGAGTCTAAGTACGTAATCAAAATCCACTTTCATTGAATGTTATTCAATTAAAAACAAGTGTTAATTTTTACACAAATGTGTAAAAAATATATTTTTTGCTTATTCAGCCGGTTATACTATTTGATAGTAGTGATCAAGTTCGAAATTAATTAGTCAATAGTATTAATTTACATTTTTAAAATAAAATTGAACAATGAGGTAAAAATGTTTAAGGAGTTTTAATGTTATGTAACGAGAAAATAAAAAAGCTCTGATGAATTTATTCTTTTACTTTTTTTTATAGCGTTGCCAAGGACCGCATATATTTTTAGACGCCGTGTTCGCAGCGGTGTTTTAAGTCGGAACAGCTAAACGCAGTCTGGGGTCGGGTACCACGATGGGGGGTTCCAATGTGTCTGAAGGGGTGGCCGAATTCGTTTAAGAGAGGGGATGATGACTAGTAGTGATTGAGAATGAGGAGAGGGGGATTAAATAAGGCATTTCCCTCTAGGGGTCTTGTTTGTATCCCGGCACCCCTGAACGTATATATATATATATATACAGCATAAATATATCTCCCCCACGATGTTGTGGAACATAATATCGACCGACAACTACTGTACGCTTTCTAGATGTTCAAAATATATGCCAAATATAACTCAAAAAGAGATTAAAGTAAAATGTTTAAAGCCCCCTCATAAACATTACAAGGGTAAAATATTTAACATACAAAAAGTCTAACAAACAATAACAAAAAGAATAATTACAGGTATTTATTAGCTGATAAAACTACGAAGAGATTTAAAAATAATAAATCTTTATTTTAATTACTATTAAATACTTGGAATATTCATTATGAACTGAAATTCATTTAATACTTAGATCAATTATTGAAATTTGACTATCATCAAAAAATGAGAAAAATTTGGTTTTTTTATTACACTGGACTCGCGTCGTAGGTTAAACTATGATTTTAAACGTTCTAATATAAGTTTAACTAGACATATATTGGAAATGCATTTTCATATTTTTTTTAATGTATACAGTTAAAATCATAATGCATGTTTTATTAATTTAACAAAATATCTCGTTGAAACTGTACCGAATTTAAAAATATATATATATTTTTTTGTCGATATTTGGTTGTTTCATGTAAATGATGTTTTTTATTTAAAATAATAAAATGTTAATATCAAGGATTAGTTTTATATCTATTAAAAACAGACCATCTCACATATAAAATTAAGTAGAACAAGAACGACCAGAGAAAATACGACGAACAAGATTGCAAAATAAATACCATGAATTCCTAATTTCTTATAAAATAATTCTAGTTTTCACTTATAATTATATTATTAATAGTAACAATACTGGTATTTTTATATATATTTGACTAAAAGTGAGTTAAATGTAAAATTAAGGGACGTCTTAAAAAATGAAACTGTTTCAATATCGACACAGGTTCACGTGTCACCTCAAGGTCTGTTTTCATAGTTCAGATACTCGATAAGTTTACCTGTAAAAAAGATAGCAAAAATGCGTCGACTAGAATAAAATAACAAACCCCAAAATACTAGTATTTATTGTATAGTATCATAAAAGTGTATTCTACATAAATTATCTCATTTAAAGAAATGCAAAAAAGTTTTTTATTTAAAATTTTTCAGTAAAAACAAAGAAAGTTAAGCTTAAATAAATGGCTTTTACGCGCCAAACAACTATAGACTGCAAAATATTACTAACATACGGTATTCGAGTGATATTTAAAATCACTTAGTAAACATTATGCACTTAAATATAGTGTTATTATTCGTGTTCGTTATAAATAATTTTTATCATTTGTAACTTCTTGGTTTGGGCTACCCGCAATTTTGATGATTACCCATAAAAACAAAACCAGTTTGGGGGGACCGGTCGTATATTATGCTAAGTGCAACTGAAGGGTAACCTATGTAAGATCAATGAAGAACCAATTACATAATAATTCGTTTAGGAACACCGACTTAAATTATTTTAATATATTTGGCTGTTATCTCACAGCTATAATTAGAGTAAATTATTAAGATATTATCGAAATTATTCAATATAATGAAGCGTACATTATGACAATGAAATAGAAAAACAAATAAATTTTCTACTCGCATTTCTACGAATGATATTAGAAATATTTCGACAATTAGCCTAATCATAGAACGTATTTTCCACCTATGGCAATATGTGTTGAACATTATTAAAGCATCTATAACTATATACCTATTTTTATCACTTGAAAAAAGTATTAATAACAAAATGATTGACAAATTGGTATTCCAAAACTTTAGTACTAGTAGGGATTCGACGTCAGAATCTTATCATAATTGATGATTAAGTGTTAATATTTTGAGTACTTTAAGAATTTTAAAACTACAACAACCATTGGCGTTAAATAATAAAAATACAAATGTACACAGAAAAATATTAGTACTTTTTTACTTAAAAATACACAGTTAACTAACAGATGTCTATTTTTCAAATATTATGTTTAGAATTAATATTTTACCTTGAGAAGAAAATATTGGTGTTAAACTATCATTCAAATCGATGAATCTTGATTTATCCTGTCCGATAAAATAAATGCTTAATGCTCCGATAAAATAAATAAATTTTGCACACCGAATGAGGAAACTAATATGACCACGTTTATTAAACGCGGGAACAATGAATACACGTGTCGCGTTCGGCACTTCGATAATGTTACTGAAATTCACCGTCCACCACCGACCACCACAGCAGTCAACTCAACAACGCCGGCTTGGCAACCCCCTCTAGGGTACGCTATGACGTCATGGACACGCACGCGGCATTTTACTTTACCCCCACCGTAAAGTGTCATCCACCGATATGGGACCCCCGCACTGTAACTTGGCGCCTTGGCAGGTGCACCTCGGAGAGGGAATACAATAGGGTCAAACCCCCCAATATATTACCACTGTAGATATATCCCTCGACCGTCCGACTATCCTTCAATCTAATAACCCCTCTCCACCCACACACACGTTCTCAAATTCCCCCTTTTGGAATCCAAAGTCATCGGTTACCCTGACTTACGAGAACTAGCTCAGTTTAAGTTTAATTTTATTATAATTTTTTGTACATTAATATTTTTTACATAATTCTTTGAAACCGGTTTTCTTATCAAAATAAAATTATATATCATAGGAAAACTATACTGCAGTGATGTAAGTTTTCACGTTTTCAAAAACTACTAAAAAGTTAGCAAAAATTAAAAAAAAAAAAACATGAAAACAATCACTTATAACTAATTATAATACTATGTAGCACTAGTAAGTTGAAAAAAAGTAATTTCAGTTATCATCAACCAGTTATTTTCTTAGTTAAAATTTTTTATAATATTGAATCTAGTAAAATATGTATGTTGTAACTTAAAAAATTAAGTTGGTATCCTTAAAAGGGATGAGCTTAAAAAAAATTTAATCACTTAAAAATTGAGAAATAATAACTACTTAAATAAGCCAAAAAAATGTCTCATAATTATTTTAGAAGAAATCTAGTGTTTTGCGATTAACTTATCTCCCCAATTATACAATAGGTCCCGTTGAGTTTCTTTTTTTTTTTAATAAAAACAACTATTTTTTAAATTTCAAAATTGCTATTTTTAGGCATTTTCTTTTTTACAAATTATGTTGATGGACCGATACAATATTGAATAAGTACTTTTTGAGTTATAATTATTTTAATACATTGAGTGTATATGGAACGCGAGTATGCCTACACCAAAACAGACTACAACTACTCAACGTATTAAATTGCTTATAACTTGATAAGTAGTTGCCTTAAAATTATCATCGAACTATTATGTAAAAAATGAAAATAAATAGGAAATAGCTATTTTGAAAATGAAAAAAATTATTAATTTTTATTTGAAACGAATAATAAAAAATACGTTTTGAACGTAGCCCAAAACTAAAAAACTTTTAAAAAAAAATTATATTCAGTTTATTGAGTAACTTATTTAAACACTTCACTCCGTTTCGAAATAATTAACATAAAGTGAAATTTAAAATCGACATTTAAAAATAACAACTGTTAAATAATTACATTATGATAACATTGTTATCATCACATGTGTTGTAGACTACAGTGTCATATGACAGATACACAAAAAAAAAATAGTAAGTCAATATTTTTAAAATTGACATTTCGGTGACAAAATATAAGACAATATGTCATAATGTATCATTTAAACCGTCTAATGGAAAAGGTAGATTATTTGAAGGTATAAGACTTCGAAAGTTATGGTGAACTGTAAAATAACATGGCGTTTTAAAATTTAAAATTCGATTTTTTCAGTTTAAAAAAAATTAACTTAATTAATTTTTTTGTGACTCTTAATCACTGGCATAATTATCAGGGGTTTGTTATCATATCCATAAATAATGATTTTCTATAACGTTAACTTTTTGTATTTATCATTGGGGATAGTAATTTCTAGTATTAAAATTTATTTGTAATTATTTATTTTTCATAAATTTAGAATTCAATTGTTCATTATTATATGATAATTTGAAAAAATTAACTCAAAAATTATATTATAAATAATACAAATAACAAGTGTGGCTATTTTATAGAATTTAATTAGTCAATTTTAACAAGGTTGTCTGTATTAATTTGTCAGAGAATTGCAAGATAATTTATTTTAATGCTTCATTTCATTGTCCAATTAGTCGAAAACAGTGTGATCAGGTTTTTTGACCAGAGTATCATATGCCGTTTCATAATATAACTTTTACAATTAGTTGATATAAATATATTATACCTATAAGAGGAACAACGTTCTTATTTCCAAAATTCATAATCGAGATTAATAAAAGTAAAAATAATAATTAAATTGTAAAATTATAAAGTTAATTAGATCGAACTCCTATATTTTTGATATAATTTTGTTGCAATTTTTCTTAATAGTCTATTCATTTTAAGACTACGTAAAATCATATTTTTTATTATTTGTTTTTAATAAAAGAAATACTAAAATTTTTTTATATTTTATTTTAAAACAAACAATTTTTAGCACTTTTCTTACAAAAATGATTATTGAGTTATAAGTATTTTAATAGAGTAACGCGGGTGGGTCATATAGCTCATGCTGGTGTATATTTATAAGTTAAAAATATACTTCAGTACAAGTGTTCGTTACACTTTATAATGCAACTCCACTAGCATTACATACCCACTAATTCACTTATTCACATTTATATTTTAATACACTATATGTATTAAAATGCTTGTAACTCATTAATTACTCATTTTAAAATTTTTAACGACTCATTAATTATTTTTGCAAGAAAAGTGCTAAAAACTGGCAATTTTTAAATTTATCATCATTTTCAAAAATAAAATACTTATATTTTTTTTTATATGAGATGCATAAAAAAAATATGCTTTTAACGTAGTCGTAGAATGCATAACTTATTAGTGTAATAAAAATATCCGCGTTGGTCTTTTTCTAAAAATCAGAGAAAATACCTTTTCTAAATAGAGATGAGTATTTTTTGTACTGATAACATTCATATTAACAGGTCTTCCGGAGTCAACAAAATAATGCGTACTACGTATATGTGTACAGAGCTGAATGCAACAAAGAGGGTTTGGGGATTCTCTAGTTAGAAGAAAAAACTGCCCCATTGGAGTCAAGAAGTATACAAAAACATATATATATATAAATGGGTGTGTGTGCGAGGGTGTGAGTGTATGTGTCGAATATTATTTCGTATGGTTTTACCCTTAGTTGTGTTTTTTTCTATACACGGACCCCAGCGTACTCACTAATAACGAACCCTAAATCGTATTACTGTTTTTTCTTCCACTTGATGTTGATATTTTTTTGTAAACAAGTCTGAGAGGTTTTTTTTACTTTTTCTGTTATTTATACTAATAATATTTAATTGTTCATATATTTGAAATTAAATATAAATCTTAAAAAAATGATTATAAGAAGCAGTTTTTTTCGTTGTATCTTCATACCAATCACATCAATTTATGTATTTTTTCTTTTATTACGAGAAAGTTATTTTACAACAAACAACTTATACTTAGTAAATGTGCACAAGGAATCAATTAAGCACAAAGGTTTTCCGCTTTCTTCTGTACTGAAAACATGATTTATTGTATACCACTATTAAAATTTCTTAGTGGTCACTCAGCCGAGAACCAACAGCAGCAGGTGTAACTTAACACGTGAGCTTTTCAGCAACTAATGTGTGTTCACTGTGTCATATCACGTATCATATTTTTTACTTTTAATTTTCAATAAATAAATATAATTTTAGACTGTATAACACATTTTCTTTATAACACATTATTTTTAATACTACTTAGAAAGATAAATTTTAAGTTTTATAATATCTTGTTAATAGACTATGAAAAAAATAATAGATCTTATAATCAATTTAATGGGCATAATTTTAGAATTGTAAGGAAGTAGCAATAAAATATTCCAAAAATTTCATAATTAATTGAAGAGTGAATGTGTCAAACGTTCTATATGCCAAAAACATATTTGTTCAGAAAACACAAAAAACAATTGTAACATGGGCATGTCTCACATATCGAACACCATCTATGAATGCAATTTTGTACAAGTAAAAAATTTAATTGACATTTGAAACACATACAAGATTGTGGCCTTTGGCACATAGAACATAAATCAGAAATAAAAAAAATTTTCACTTTTTGGCACATAGAACGTTTGACACATTCACTCTTCAATTATTATTTATTATTATAAAAATGTTAATAGTAAAGGCAGAGTAATAAAACTTTTAGACTAGGGAACAGAGGTTTATCCAAAGGATCTAGTGGACCTTAATCAAAGAACAGCGGTATTGATGAGGATGTAAGACGCAGGATTAATTGCAGGGGTGTGAAATGCAGAGAAGCGTCTGGTATGTTATGCGATAAAAGAATTCCAATGAGGCAAAAAGGTTAGTTCTATAAGACTGTAGTGAAACCAGCTATGACATATGGTTCAGAGTGTTGGGCGCTTGACAAGAGAATAGAGCAGAGAATGAGTGTAGTAGAGATGAGAATGCTTAGATGGATGAGTGAAGTGACTAGAGAAGATAGGATAAGAAACGAACATATAAAAAGGAGTATAGGCGTATAGCGTCAACCGTGGATAAGATGAGAGAAAACAGACTTATTTTGGTCGTGTTATGAGGAGAGAGGAATCAGAAGTTGTATGAACAATTATGAAAATGAATGTTGCGGGAAAAGAGGTAGTACGAGACCAAAAAAGAGATAAAGGGATGTTATTGAATGCGATATGAGAACGGCTGATGTGTACTACGTAGATGATGTAGGAGATCGTGTCAAGTGGAAGATTAGGATAAGGGTGGCCGACCCTAAATAGTTGTGATAAAAGCGAGATAAAAGAAGAAGATGATGATGCGCAACGTCACATTTCTATTGTCTTTTTTCGCATAACACGACACGTTTTTTAAATGAGATTATCGCAGTATTGAATATTCATTTTGATAGCAAACTTAGCCGTTAAAATATTTATTACATGGTTAAAGTCATGGTAAAAATTATTCACTATTAAAATTAAAATAACATAATTTTAAACATTTATTTTATAATTTATGTAGTTCAATATACTTATTTTTATTTACAATTTAAGTATAGCACATAATTATTCAAAAAATTGGATATATAATTTTCCACAAAGTATTGTCATATGTTTCATTTATTTT